GATCCAGGAGAACCAGAAGGGGATGTTGGACAAGGGCCTGGAGTGACAGGACAAGGAGGAATGACTTTACACTGCCAGAGGGCAGGGTAAGACGGAATTCTTCCCTGGGAGGGTGGGGAGGCCCTGGCACAGGTTGCCCAGAGAAGCTGTGGCTGCCCCTGGATCCCTGGAAGTGTCCAAGGCCAGGTTGGACAGGGCTTGGAGCAACCTGGGCTAGTGGAAGGTGTCTCTACCCATGGCAGGGTGGAATGAGATAAACTTTGAGGTCTCTTCCAAACCAAACCATTCCGTGGTTCTATGATGATTCTATGACTTTCTTAATCTTTTCAAATCCAGGACTCTCGCAGTGTCCTTAGGGGGCACGAATGGAGTTGTCTTTGAGATCCTCCCTTCTGCCTCTCCTTTCCTGTGCCACAGTTTGTCCTACTTGAAGGGAATTTTTCGTGTGGCCATAATTAGAAGGTGGATCTTGGAGAGAGGCAGACATGGGACTTGCTTTCTGGAGTAAAAGCTGCATTGCCTGTTTGTTTTGCTTTGTAATTTCTAGCAAATGAGAATTGGATTTGCACAAGCCGAATCTCTGTCTTATCCCAGGTGTCATATGCACTTGTAGAGAAAAATCAGCACATGAACAAGAGGGTGGTGGGGTTCTGTATATCCCATCTCTTCATAGCTTAAGGGCTTTGGTCACGAAGTGTCACTTGTTGCTCCTGGATATGGAGTGCATATGGATTTCCCATCCCTGGAAGTGTCCAAGACCATGTTGGATGGGGCTTGGAGCAACCTGGGCTGCTGGGAGGTGTCCCTGCTCATGGCAGGGGGTGGAACCGGATGAGCTTTGAGGTCCTTCCAGCTCAGATGATTCTGTGATTCTGTGACATGGCTCGTCATCTCTCCCTTACAGCTGAGGGAGTTAGTGACTGTGCTGGGAAGGAGAGGAGGGCAGGCAAGGGAGGAAGGCTCCCTGGCTACTGGGAGAGGGCATGGGCCTGTCTAGCTCTCTCCTGTAGATCGCAGACAGCAGCAGATGTGGGCTGAAGCACGAGGATGCTCTGGTTTGGAGGAGAAGATGTTTTTCAGGGAGGTGTTATTGCACATCACTTCAAAACACGGCCCAGCAGTTGCAGAACCGAGGATGTGCCGGTCAGGGCAACCCCAGCTCTATGGCAAGGGGAGAGTTTTGTCCTTAATGTCGTATAATAGAGCTCTGCACCCTGCAAATGATGACCATCATCAAGGGAAGCTGTGCCCGTACAGTCCATCAAAAGCCTCAGAGCTAATGATGGGCTGGGCAGATAATCGGGGGAGAGTTAATTGTAAGGTTCGATATGGCATCTTGTCAGCAGAGATAAGTTGTCACGTTTTCCACTTGAGCTGAAACTAAATGATTGTAAAATAAGTTATGAGTGTCCTTGGGCCTGTCTGCCAGAATGATGGCTAAGAATACATTCCTGGCCCATCAGTCTCAAGCAGCCCGCTTGATATTTATGCGAGCTGAATGTTATTTTATTCCCCCTCTAGTCATGCTTGTCAGCCTCCCGAGTGAAAAGTGAAACTGCTGCTTTGACTCATACTTCAAGTATTGAAGCTCGGAGAGGCTGCAGATTGTTATTATTATTACTAGTATTATATATTTTTTCGGGTGTGTGTTGAACATTGATGCCCGATTGGGAAGAACTAATGGCTGACATTGAACGTGCGGGATGGCTGGAAAACAGCCCATCCCAGCCCAGTGAAACGCAGCTTATGAGTTCCAGTGCCTCTGTCAAAGCTGGTTGAGATGGGGAGTAATGAGGCGCTTGCTTTTTTAATTTGCCATGCCTTTTCCTTGCCTTTTTTTTTTCCCTTCTTTCCCCCCCCCCATATTTAATAGTGCCGGCAGTGGCCGTCTGTTCTCAGGCGTGGTAATTGATACCAAATAAAATGCATTATTTGTATTCAGTCAGGAGGATGAAATTGCATTCAGCGGGCTGAAGCCTGAACTCATTTACAGTTTCCCGAAGCCCGGGCTTTCAGGAGCCCTCTTTTCAATTTGAAGAATCCCTTGTCAGGCAAGAGAAGGAGTGGGAAATGGGAGAGCGCAGCGTGTGAGCCCCAGCGCCTTTTGATTGCTCATATTTTAAACCAGGGGAATGTTAAATAACTCCCATCTTCAAAGGGTGGTCTGGGGAGCCGGGGATCCAGGGCAGGGAGGCACCAGCAGCGTGGGCTCGGCACTGTTTAGGAGCGACTGGCCGAGGGGCAGGGAGAGCACCAGACTCTCACTTCGGAGCTGTTTGATCCAAGGACAGCAGGTTGTTACCTGGAGAGGCCTGTGGGTGAGGAGGATTCACCAGAGGAGGTCACTTCTTCAGCTCTGCGACGGCCCTCGCTCCTCAGGGCTCACGAGCAGGTTTTGTTGGGGTAATTTATGGCCCTGGAATTAGACGGAGCCACGGGGAGCGTATGGACCTACCTTTGTAAACAGAATGTATTCTGTGGGTTTGCGTCAGGTTTGTGGTTTCTTCAGTGTTTTATGGGTCCAGGGCATCGTGGTTGATGCTGCAGTTGCATGAGGTGATGAACACAGATGGGTTTAATTCTTTCTAAAGTGAAAGATGAGAATGAGAGGGGGGAGAAGTGAAGCATTTTAAATCATAGAATCACGGAATGGCCTGGGTTGGAAGGGACCTTAAAGCTCATCTTGTTCCCCACCCCCTGCCATGGGCAGGGACACCTTCCACTAGCCCAGGTTGCTCCAAGCCCTGTCCAACCTGGCCTTGGACACTCCCAGGGCTGGGGCAGCCACAGCTTCTCTGGGCAACCTGTGCCAGGGCCTCAGCACCGATGAAGACATCGATTAGCACTGGTCCCAGTACAGGTGCCCAAGGACAGCACTGATCACTGACATCGCTCAGGACTCTGAGAAGCTGTGCTAGATGTGAGCAAACCTTCCTGGCTGGTGTGCTCTGCTATCTCTCCGTGATATTTAGGTATTTTCTGGATTTTCACAAGCAAATGGAAATCAGTGAGATGCCTTTTGGTGCCACACCCAGGTCCCTTTCTCACCAGTCTTGACTCAACACAGGAATTTTCACATAATTACTGCAAAGAAGGGGGTTTTGTGGGGAGGTGTTTCTTCTCCTTTTTAAGTATCAACATAGGAAACCTTCAGAATCGATCTGGAGGTCAGTATTTAGGATAGAAGTAACACCCAGTTGCATCCATGGCATCCTCTTCTGCATCAGCTCTTCCTTCAGTGTCAGGGAGCCAAAGGGATCCATGCCCCCTTGGCCAGGAGTATGCGGGGCACTGTTGTGGGTTCTCATCAGGGTTTGCATTGGCATGGAGACAGCAAACCCTCCAGGAGAGCCACTGTCACCATTTATGGGTCAAATACTTAGAATCTGCTATACAGATATACAGCAAATACATTCCCATGATTCCCTTCTGGGGTTAAGAACCTGAGGACTGGTTTCAATCTGGTGGATGTAGGGAAAAGAATAAATATCCTTAATAAAAGCATTAATGTTTGATTTGGTGTCTCTTGCCAGGCAATTAGCTACATAATTTATCCCCCACTAATAACTTACAGCACAACTGTGCTTGGGGGGTAATTAGTAAATAAACTTTATTATGAGAGAGAAAAAAAAAATCCAAACAAGTTGTTTTTTCTGAAATAGGCAGCTGTGTGGGAATTTAACTATACCAAAAAAAAAAAAACCCAAAAGCTGCTTTTTAAATAATCTTTGTCTTGATATTTTTCTGATATATTAATTAATCTTAAGTGAAATGCTGATACTGCACGTAAGCTTTATATTAAGGATTTTTGTTCTTTTCCGTGTGTCCGTGATTCTGAAACCAATCATCAAGTATTTAACCCCAAAAGGCAATCATGGGAGTGTATTTACTGAATATCTGTATAGGAGATTTTAAGGATTTGACCTATAAATGCAGTCCTGGAATTGCACTGAAGTGCAATACAGTACTTAAACAAGGTCTGAAAATGGCTTCACTTTCCATAATAGCAAACACTTTCCTTAAAGTGTAGGTTTTATGTGAAGTTTTATAATTAAAATCACAACCAGACTAGTAATTAAAGAAAAATCATGTTACCAACCTTGAGGGAAAATCCTGGATTAAGGTTGCTTGAGTATTTACTGTGTGAAAGGACCCGGTTGGAGAAATTTCAGGTACATCTAAATTTGAGTTAATTTTGGCTGTTTGTTTTGTGATTGCAAACAAGAACTAGTCAAAGAGAAGCTGTTGGTGTATGACCAACCATTCCATGGGCCAGGGAAGAGACTGTGGGTCTCTGCTCATGAGAGGGGGGGTGTCATCTACCTTTAATTTTGATTTGGTTGAGTGAACTAATGGGTGGGCGAGGGGAGAAAATTACTTTCATTAAGTCTTAAAATGGTTGGATGTTGGGCTACCAGAGCTAATACAGCAGGAAACTGAACACACTAAAGATGGGCTTATTTTCTTTGCTTGGCAGCAGGTAGGAATGACCCTTCATTGCAGTTGTCACTGTCCCAGGTGCACGTTGGTCACCTTGTTTGCCCACCTTTATTGCCATCACCTCCTTTTCGGTGTGTCTGATACTGATGACAATAGGTACATCCAGAGGTGTTGGGGCACCTGTGGTCCGTTATGTATTAAAATGTTCAGGTGTTACAGGAGTTAATTTGAGGATCAGGAAGATCTTTGTGGGAAAGAGCAATTGGAAGGAATTAAGAGCTTTCCTGTTGTTTTTGTGCATTCCTGCTGGGCTCCTTCAAAAATCGATACCGAGTCCTGTCGATGGAGTAGGGCTTGAATCCGCACTTCAGCCACGTTGTTTTTTTTGTACCATTTTGAGCAAATAATGGATGTTGTTGGGAGCCTTTGGAAGTCACCGAGCTCAAGAACAGAGCTGCTGGCAGACAGCACGGGGTCGTACCTCGGATTGTAGCAATCATTCATGTAAATTACGCAGTGGTTTTAGTTCCCTCTCCTTGTCTTCCCCCACCCCACTGCAGATACGGGCCTAGGAGACTCTGTGTGTTCCAGCCCCAGCATATCCAGTACGACGAGCCCCAAGCTGGACCCCCCCCCTTCCCCTCACGCCAACAGAAAGAAGCACCGGCGGAAGAAAAGCACAAGCAACTTCAAAGCTGACGGGATCTCGGGCACAGCTGAGGGTAAGTCTGCTCCCTGGGGCAGGGCTCCACTCTGAGAACACCATGGCAAGGGCTGCTGGTCACTCAGCTCCACCGTCGGCTCCGGTTCCAGAAGGTAAAAGGGAATTGTGCTGCAGTGGAGAAATTAAAGGCTGAGCTTTTAATGGTGGAGCTGAATCATCTGAGGCATCACGATGGTGAATTCACCCGCCTGAAACGTGTTTGGAAAGGGCTTTTGTAATAAATAAGAGTCCCCGAGTTAAAGTGGAGCATCATTAGGTATAAAGGCAAGGAAGAGGCAAACTTGGAGGGTTATCAAGGAAGAAAAATTCAGGTTTGCTCCGTAGATCGCGTTAGAACTTGTGTATTTTTTCAGTATTATTAAATCTTGTGTTATCACATCTCCTAAGGCACATCCTGAGCTCTAGAATCACCGACACTTCTGATGCCTCTTATTGTTTGAATATTCAACTGCTCATGGAAAGCTTGTGTTATTTGAGGATAAAAGGGAAAAGGGGAGAGTTTAAATGTTTGGGTTCTTTTTTTTTTTCAGAGCCAGAAAGCAAAAGGCAAAAAGAACTTCTTTTTTTCCCTTAGTTTAGCTTACTGTTTCCAATGTGAACACTGCTCTAGCTGTTCAATGCCCTTCTGAAGGGGTAACAATGTGTACAGGAGCCAGGTATGATATAAAACATGCTTGTAGCTTTAGAAAAGAAGAAAAGAAACATGCCAGGATTCAACCCAAAAGAGCTCCAGAAAAAAAGGATGAACAAGGGTAGTTGGAAGGCTCAGAAACTGGGGAGTCAACACATAAGGAGAGATGAAAAACGGAGACAATGGAATAACATTGTGGGAAAAGGGGAGTGTTGAGTAAGAAAAAGATGTGGTTGTAAGCATGGGAGAGTGAAAAACAGCTAATTCAGTATCAAAGAGGGTTGGAACAAGTTCTGAAAAAAAGATGACAATTGCAGACAGCTGAAGAGACATTAAAAATAGATGTGATAATAGTATACAACTGAGAAGGGGCATGTTAACTACTACTTAGTCATCCTTATTTTCCATTTATTTAATTTCTCAATTGCACTTCTCTCACATCCGGAATTTATTTCCCCAGCTATCTATACAAATCCTTTTTTTAAAAAACCATCAGCTTTTTTTCATAACAGCCCCTGTTGTGTTCTCTTTCCAGTCATTTAACTATCTTTGCTATCTTAGTTTCCCCCTAGTTTATGGCCTGAAGCCAAATTTTAGTTCAACCTTTCATTTTTAATTTGCCTTTTTTTTTTTTTTTAAACAAGCCCTTTTACACCACTTATTTTCATACCTCAATGGCAAGTTACAGAGGGGATTTTTCAGAGCAATCACCATTGGTCCAAGACTATTTTGTTGAAGTCAATGTGAATCAAGACCAGCTGGATATCAAGAGCCTTTGAAAACCTCTTTCTGAGTAGTTAATGGTTGTATGTTTTCTTTCTCCTGGGGAGATTATTTTCACAAGTCACTGGAGCCTGTGTGGTCCTGGGCTGTAGGGGGGTCTGCAGTTGTGAATCTTGTCCCTGATGTCCCTGTTCTCATTGGAGTGGGCAGTACATCCCTCATCCTCCTCTGTTTGCCCTTCCTCTTCTCCTTATCTTCCAGCATCACACCATGTTAGTCTGAAATCCTTTTGCAATAACTCAACAAAATGGTCCCCTCTCATATGGGTGGGATAAATGTGCTTCCAGAAGGGCTGACAGGCAGCAACTAAGACAGACATAGGGAGCCTTGAAAGTGGTAGAATCATTTAGGTTGGAAAAGCCCTCTAGTCGTTCCCCCAGCACTGCCAGGTCACTAAACCATGTCCCCAGATGTCACATCTGCAGGTCTTTTAAATCCCTCCAGGAATGGGGACTCCACCCTGGGTAGCCCTTTCCAATGGTGACCACCCTTTCCAGCAAGAAATTCCTCCTGATGTCTCACCTGACCCTCCCCTGGCACAGCTGAGGCCATTCCCTCTCCTCCTGTCCCTTGCTCCCTGGGGCAGAGCCCGACCCCCCCCCCAGCTCCCCCTCCTGTCAGGGAGCCAGAGCCAGAAGGTCCCCCCTGAGCCTCCTTTTCTCCAGGCTGAGCCCCCCCAGCTCCCTCAGCCACTCCTGCTGCTCCAGCCCCTTCCCCACCTCCGTTCCCTTCCCTGGATGTGCTCCAACAGTGAGTGCCAGCACTTACTTGTACAGGCTTTGTAGCTCTGCATGAGCCCATCAGCTTCCTCTGACCTGCCTCCTCTCACATGTCTTCTGAGATGAGCACTCTGTGGTGTTTGGGGCCTGCAGTTGTATCTTGGGTGGGCTGCAGTGGTAGTTAAGTTCTTTATTTTTGTAACATCTCCTTTCAAACACAGCCCAGCGAAAAGCAGCGGTTTGGCCACGAGAACACGTGGTGTTCTGGGCATCCTTCAGCACACAGCTCATCTTCGTGGTCCTTGAGTGCTCAGCAAGGTTGGGAGGAGGTGGCTGACAGCGAGGACAGTCTGTCAGCGGGGGCTGAGGGAGGAGGCAATGAGCCGTGCTCGAGCTCCTGTCCTTTCAGGAGAAGGGCATCTCACAAAGAGTGATGGTGGCTGTAGATTCCCAGTAAGTAGCAAGACTCACAAAGCCTGGGGGTTGCTGTCTCCAAACCCTGGCATGTGGGCACGCAACCTTTGTGTTTTCTGGGACTTGTGTTGGTGCAAGCCAGAATCACAGAGCCACTGAGGTTGGAAAAGCCCTCTAAGATCCTCGAGTCCACTGTTAACCCAGCCCTGCCAAGGCCACCACTGACCCTGGGAAGGTACATTTGGTGTGTTTGTGGTTGTCTAGACACTGTTCATATCCCTGAGCTTGCTGCGATGTTGTGTGATGGGAATAACTCCAGTCCTGGGACAAGCTGTGTCACAAGCCAGTCTGCTGCTGGTGGGGCGTGTCCCACATGGTTCAGGCTGTTACGGGTTTTTCTCCGAGTAGTTGAATGTAGCTGTGTCAGGGCAGGGTCAGGGTGGATCTCAGGGAAAGGTTCTTCCCCCAGAGGGTGGTTGGCACTGACCAGGCTCCCCAGGGTTTGGTCACGGCCCCAAGGCTGCCAGAGCTCCAGGAGGGTTTGGACAACACCCTCAGGGACAGAGTGGGATTGTTGGGGTGTCCTGGGCAGGGCCAGGAGTTGGACTGGATGGTCCCTGTGGGTCCCTTCCAGCTCAGGATATTCTGTGATTTTCACATCTGTCTTGTACTTCAAAGCAGTTTTCAGTTCAGTAGTTCAGCCTTTCCTCAGGAAAAGGCTGATTTCCTTGTTCCCCAACGTGCAGCTACAAATCTGTCCAGTGACCTAAAAGATTCCCTTTTGGATTTTTCTTCCCCCACACTTGCCATAAGCATAGATTTAAACCCTCAAGGAGGTTCTGAAGAGCACAAATCCAAATTAAGTAGTCAAAGATGTTCTGGGAGATGCACGTTTTGCCTTGGCAACTTTGATCAAGTGCTTGAGATGCAGCAGGTGACTTGCTGAAAATGGGCTACAGGAGCCCGTGGTGATAATCGTGGGAGATCCATGTCTTCCTTCCTTCTGGAAATGCTGAGCTTGGCGTGCAGAGGAGGAGGATCCTCCTGCAGTCGCTGTTCTCAGGCAGGTACAATGGATCAGAGTCAAGTGATGGGGGTAATTCTAGATTTTATGTTGCCTTCCTTTGGCTCTGGGCACGTTTCAAGTGTCAACTTTCAAACAGGAATTCTAGGTTCCTTCATTTTTGTCTGTACCAAAGCTGAGGTGTTCAATGAGGTTTAAATCTGGTCTTCAGCAAACTCGAGCATTTTTACTGCACTTTGCCGTCTTTTTTTCTCCTCCTTGAACATGCCTGCTTTGATCATTGACCTCTGCCCAAGTATTCAGATATCACGATGATGGACACTGAGCTCAGGGTGATTCACCAATTCCAAGGACTGATGCTCATCCCTTTTATGCCCTTCCATAAAGGTCATGCTGATTCTTCTTTCTCCACACTATCTGCACATGCACAGCCCTCTCTTTCTGGGATGGATTCTTTCATCTCACTTGGTTTGTCTTTCTACAGGTTTTCTTAGACAATAGTCACAGCAACAAAAATACTAAAGCAACTGTGCTGCAGTTGGATGAAAATTAAAATTCAGTTCCTATATTGGAAAATCGGATTCTTGTGAAATTTTTTTTCCAGCGCAGTGAAACCCGGGGAGAAGTTTTTTAGTTCTCTGTACAGAACTTGTCACTGAAAAAAGTCCCTCGGTGTTTTTGAGGGTAACAGCAGGAATGCTTACATTAGGCAAGGTGCCAGCAACCAGCAGGTTTTTTTCCCACCATGCTGCCTAAACTTGCTCGGAGCAGGATTAGACAGTGCTGTGTTTCAAAGAGGAATAGCTGCTCAGAGCCTGATCTGTTTTGGTACCCTTGTGCTGCTGCAGTTACTGGAACAGCCAGTGATAATAGGAAGGATTTTCAGCTTGAAAACAAGTAGAAAAATTGAAAAGCTTTCTTGGAAATACTCTTCACAGAAAGACCTTTCCCAGTGTTTATTTTTCTTACTCTTATTAGTTTTAAAGCTTCATAGCTAAGACAGCTTGAACCTACCTTCCCTCCATCCAACACTGAGATTTTAGGAGCTGCAGAAAGCCCAAGGTGTGTCTGTCTTTTGATGTTGGGATCATCTGTGCCCTGCAAGCCTTCCACTGACTAAGAGCTCTGGCCCGTGGGGCCAGTGTTGCTGTGAGGCCAGCCTGGCCACATCCAGGTGGATGGGAATATCCCCTCCTTCCCTCAGGGAGACCACGGAATCCCAGAATGGTTTGGGCTGGGAGGGATCTTAAAGCTCAGCTTGTTCCATGGGCAGGGACACCTTCCACTAGCCCAGGCTGCTCCAAGCTCTGTCCAACCTGGCCTTGGACACTTCCAGGGATGGGGCAGCCACAGCTTCTCTGGGCAACCTGTGCCAGGGCCTCCCCACCCTCCCAGGGAGGGATTTCTGTCCTCTCTCAGCATTGTGG